TAAATGTTTTTTCTACATACCTTGAGGTACCAGTGTGGCTCGTGAATACTGCAATGATGGAGCGGATGGAGCGTTCCACAAGAGCACGGGGGGGCCTCTATGTGCTCGGTGGTGAACCCAGAAGTAGACCAGAAGTACTTCCAGTCCACTTCCCGATCCACTGGGGAGCGTGCAGGGGGGCCCCCTTGCACTCCTGTGGGACACTCCATATGCCCCAGCATCACAGAACTCACGAGCCACCTGCTACCTAGAGGTATGTAGGAAAAACATTTAAAGCCGTGTCTATGTCTGAATCACTGAATCTTTCTGAATCTCTCTGAACCAATTCAGAGGGTTCTGATTCAATTTGGAGAGATTGCAGGGTCCTTTGATTCTATTTGGATTTGGATATTTGGCCACCAAATCGGGCCGAATCTCCACTGAATCGAATCAGGGACCAAAGCTTTGCACAGCCCTAATACCTATATCATTACATTCTACTACTATTACATATTAGGGTGATTTTGGTTACTTTAAAAGAAAAGGAAACTTACCACAAAAAATGTATTAAATTACCATTAAAGATGCAAACACAGTCAAACAAAATGCATCTATCATAGGATCGTAGAATCAGAGAAAAATAGGGTTGGAAGGGACCTCAGGAGAATGTGCGGCCAGATTATGAACTTTTTATCACCCAGTGGGCCAGCAAGCCATATTCAAAGACCTTATAGGAAGTGGTATCACATCAGGAAGTGATGTCACATGACCTTTGACACCAATGAAGTTGCAAAAAGTGACAATGAAATGGATCTGGAAATGTGGTTTAAAATCCAAAATAAAAACAATATAAAAGCAACAATGAAATAATACCAAACACTTGACTAAAATAAACACTTACTTCTACTCACTTCTCAATGAATGAAAGAAGCATAATGCAGGCTTGCCCTGGCACACCTGGGCATACAGCACCAGGTAGAGGAAGCCATGGAGGAGCAGCCAGCTGTTGGCCTCCAGCAGCAGCAGTGAGGAGAAGGAGAAGCAGCACCTCAGGACCCTGCCCAGCTCCATTGGGGATGAGGAGCCTGGTCTTCACACACAGCCACGTGCGTGCAGCCCACCTCCCTCCTCGCCCCCGGCTCCCAAGGAGAAGGAGGAAGGTGCAAGTGTGACCTTGTGCTTCCTCCTCACAAGTGCACACATGCGTGTGGCACCCCCACGCAGGCTGCTCAGCATCCTGCCCAGAGATGTGGCCCTGCTGACAGTCGGGCAGCCATGTTTCATGCTCGCTCACTCATCCCTGCACCAGACCACACCGTCCCTTCCCCGCTGGTGCAGTGCAGACCGCCCCTGGCACAGGGCTTAAAAAAGCTGCGTGATAGGTGTGGAGGGGGCAGGGGGGCACTTCGGCCCAGGCCCTGGGACCCGCCTGGTACGAGCACACCCGCCCCGGCCTCCATGGCTGCAGTCAGGGGAGCTGAGAGAGGGACCCTGCTCCACCCGGGGAGAGGGTCAGCAGTCACCAGGCAGCCAACTGCCTCGTAGTCCATGTTCGCCAGTCACCTGCTGAGGGGCTGAGGGAGGGACAAGGGGTGGGAAGGAAACTAAACAGTGTTTACTTTCGTTTCCTGTCGCAGCACCTCGGGCCTCAGAAAACAGCTTGACAGGCTGCATGGTGGCTCGCAGGCCATATGTTGGACAAGCCAGATCTAGTCCAACCCCCTGCTCAAAGCAGGACTATCCCCAACTAGATCATCCCAGCCAGGGCTTTGTCAACCTGGACCTTAAAAACCTCCAAGGATGGAGACTCCACCAACTCTTGAAATAACCTGTTCTGGTGCTTCACCACCCTCCTAGTAAGAAAGTTTTTCCAAATACCCAACTTAAACCCCTTGCTGCAGCTTGAGACCATTACTCCTTTTTCTGTCATTTGTCACCGCTGAGAACAGTCTGCCTCCATCCTCTTTGGAACCACCCTTCAGGTAGCTGAAGGCTGCTATCAAATCCCCCCCCCCAGTCTTCTCTTTTGCAGACTAAATAAACCCAGTTCCCTCTGCCTCCCCTCATGAGTGTGTGCACCAGCTCCTGAACAATTTTCATTGCTCTCTGTTGATCTCTTTCCAACTTGTCCACATCCTTTCTATAGTGGGGGGCCCAAATCTGGACACAGTACTCAAGATGTGGCCTCACCAATGCAAGATAGGGCAGAATAATGACTTCCTTTGATCTGCTGGCAACGCTTCTACTATTGTAGCTCAGTATACTGTTAACCTTCTTAGAAACAAGGGCACACTGCTGACTCATATCCATCTTATTGTCCACTGTAACCCCTGGTCCTTTTCTGCAGAGCTGCTGCTTAGCCAGTCAGTCCTCAGGCTGTAGCAGTGTAGGGGATTCTTATACCCTATGTGCAGGACTTTGTACTTGTCCTTGTTGAACTTCATGAGAT